GATATTTTGTATTTTTTTACTGTATTTTTGTGCACACGTGACGGCTACGTGATGTGTCCCGAGTGCAGGCAATGGCTACGATTTCAGCTCTTTCTAGAGTCGCTCTCAGCGTATGTGTGTGAGTGAGTGTGTGTGTGTGTGTGTGTTGGTGTGTGTGGGTCACGTGGCGCACTTCAACACTCAGACTGGCAGGCAGTGCACAGAAAATGCACTGCCTGCCGTCGATGTCGGGTTTAATGAAGTGCAACGGGCGTCGAGCAATTGAAATGCATTGCCTGCTTTTGGGTGTTCCACCTGACGTCGAAGACGACGCACAAATCACAGTGGAATTGTTATTGCAGCTGCTGCTGTTGCTGCTTATGTGGTATCATCAAGTGCCGTTAAACATGCCACACGCATCAAAGCAAGCGAAAATGCTGCAAGTACAAAAACAGCAGCACAAGCTAAATCCGGACATGTGGCATAAAAAGCCCGAGACGGAGCAACACGAGCTCTAAATAAACCAAAAACAAAACAAAATCACACACACGCACACACACAAACACAGAAACGAAAATAAAAATAACTAAAAGAAGAAGAAGAAGACACACACACACACGCTCGCCCACTCACTCAACCACCCGCCCACCAATTAAGTTCAATTCCCATTCACATGGCCAGCACAGAACTGTTCCCAGTTACTGTTGAGCCACTGTTAAGTCACTGTTAGCTGGCCATAACAATGGTAGGCGGCTCTGCCGCTGCCTCTGTCGCTGCCACTGCCGCTGCCTCTGCCGCTGTCTGCGCCTGCGCCTGCGCTCATGCCGCATTGGCTCGGCTCTGGCCGCTTTTAGCACAGGCGACCCGAGGCGCTGTCGTATGATTTAGAACATGTCCTAATAAAACCAGGACATTCAGCGGCACGCAGCCTTTGGCTGCAGTCGAGTGCCCCGGACGACGGTAGCGTACGCGGCGATGCCAGCGCCAGCTCCGCTCCGGCAAGCGCGCGAAATGTACGTAACTTTGCGGCTGCACTTGCAATTAGACTGATGGAGCCCGAGCTGCACTTGTCGCTGCCAGCGCTTGATGACATTTGAAAAACTTGCCATCTGGCTGGCGGGCAACTTTGTCTTGGCCATCAGGCAGCACGTCGACGCTCGACGCTCGACGGTCGACGCTCGACGGACAACAGACGTCAGTCAGCAGCGCTCTGTTTATGTTGAGTTGTGCTCATTAGTGCAGCTCTTATGATGATAATTTGGATTAAGCAACAAGCAGCGGCCTGCCTCCATGGAAATGCTATGCATTTCGCTTAACATAGTTCCCCTTCCCCGCACAGGAGCATCCGCCATGGCAGGCCCAGCGCATTGTAATACGGCATTTAAATATGCGCATGCAAATGTTGTAACCTTTGCCAATTATATATACAAATCGATTCATTCTAAATTACAAAATATATACAATATCTAAGTATATATGTCTGTGTATATCTATATACATAAGTTATATCAATTGAGGCGCATTTCTGCTGAGCTCAGCTCGCTTGCAACTGCTTTTCAGGTTTTCTCCGAATTGCGCTTGTTTTCTGAAATCATTTGAATTCTAATGGCTTAATTATTGAGGTATGTGCCAGCACGTACTATCCTGAATAATAAACATTATATATGTATGTCAAGTGATTAGATTAAAACAATTGTCAAATCAAGATATCTGTGACAATGGGAACAGTGGGCTTAGTTATGCAAATTAGTATATTAGCTATAAATGATTATTATATCTATATTTCAAAAAATGTTATATTATTGTCATGGTCATGGTCATGCTCATTGTCATTGTCATTGTCATTGTCATTGTCATTGTCATTGTCATTGTCATTGTCATTGTCATTGTCATTGTCATTGTCATTGTCATTGTCATTGTCATTGTCATTGTCATTGTCATTGTCATTGTCATTGTCATTGTCATTGTCATTGTCATTGTCATTGTCATTGTCATTGTCATTGTCATTGTCATTGTCATTGTCATTGTCACTGTCAATGTCAATGTCATTGTCATTGTCATTACATCACTGCATACAGTTGAGCAACGCTGTATATTGTCTACCGATTACAGTCCTAATATTGTATTAAGGCATTCACTGCAGCTTCCATGCTTATCCGCACACGCTCAATTTAGCAGTAAATTCCCAAGGGTAAACTATATGATGTAGTAAACAAAATTGTTTTCAAAATATGAAGTGACCCAATTGAAATTTGAAGCAACATGTTTTTGGCTTCCGATAGCTGCCCGGCCATCTGTGCCGAAAGTTTCGAAACTCATGATTTTACGAGATGCGCAGCTTCTTGCCGTTGAAGCAGATCCATACAATTCATTTATCCAATTAGCATAATTGAAATATATGCTCGTGAAAATTTGCATTTTACATTATGCTCGACGCTGAAAGCTGTTTTTCTCTAAATGCGGCTCTGGATATGGCAAGCACTCCGATATGGCAGCCCTGGCTGGCTGGCTGGCTGGCTGGCCGCCTGGAAGCCCGCCCGCACTATGTTACATATGTTGCATACTTTTTGCTGCTTAACTGCTGCAAGCTGAAAATGAAAAGAAAAATGTTGCAAAGGTGGAAAAAACGAGAAAACTAAAAAACGGGAAAAGCGGGCAAAAAGGAGTGGAAAATTGTAATAATAAATAAAAGAGAGACGCAGCGAGTGGCAACTCGTTGCAGCGGTTTCACACGCAATTAACATATTCTCTCTGTTTCATTAAAATTGTTGCGCTTGCAGCGGGGCTACGACCGGTCTGAGTCCCCATCAGTCCCCACCCCAGTCGCACAGCGAGGATCAGGATAGCACCGGGATTTTGTACTGTTTTTTTTTTTTTTTTTTTTTTTCCTTTCTACACGTGCACTTTTTAATTATTTGTTGTTATTTTCTCGTTTTTTTTCGCTTTTTATTCAATTACTTGTACACGCACTGATAGGGAAGGGGGTGGCAGAGAAAGTTTGCTCTGTCTGCCAAATGTTAAAAATGTTGCAATTTACATTAATGCCGCATCACTTTGCAGGTGCATTAAGCAATTAGCAAATGTAATTGATAAACAATTAGTGCGGCTGTGTGTGGGCAGCCGAGCCTGGCTGCCAAACGGTTTATTAACAAATGAGAACATTCCAAAAATAATCATAATGCATCAATTATAGTGCATGACATGTCGCTGCCCTGCAATCGGCACTCGATCAGGGCATATCAGTTCTTTAGCTTCACATGTAAGCTTTCAGCTCAGCTAATAAAGCATCTGCAGAGTCGGCTCGGTCACCAAGCTGTTGGCATGTATTGGGCCAAAACGAGTTAATGCTGACGCACTCGGAGCGTGAATTACAAACACAAATAAGCTGACACATACACTCACGGAAGTATTCAAATATATATTGGCAGAGAGGGAGCATACGCCGCTCATAGTTTTGCGTATGTGTAAAGAATTCATTAAAGTGTAAATTGTAAGAGCGAGCCATAGTCAAGTGCGGCATAGGCGACAGGCCTAAGCATGATTAACTGTGAAGCTTTTTGCTACAAAGTTGAGCTCAGAATCTAGCAAAAAGCTTTAATGAGCTTTCAGTAATGTGGGATTCATAGTAAGTAAGCTTCCGAGCTGACTTAAGCAATTGGAAAGAAAGCAACAATATTCTTGAAAGCTCCTTCGAATTCAGATTTTGATGAATAGTTTTGTACCGAAGTTTGCTCAAGGCTTTTCTGAGCTCATTTTTGATAATTTGATGAATTTCAAGGAAGTCTCAAAGTTACATATGTAAATATGTAAAATAAAGCTAAGTAATCTATCAATGTGCTTCAAAGCATTCAAGACTTGGACATGGAAAAAGATTGCGATAAAAATCTTATCAATTTGTTATTTTTAGTTTGTTCAATTCATTCGTAACCAATCCTTGTTTAAAGCTCATTAATGCAAGATCTAAATCAAGAAAAGCATTTTCAGTGCCTAACACTCTCAAATCTCTTTATCTGTACAGCAAAGCTTTCAAGCTCTTTAAGCAGTCAATCTGCTTTAAAACTATTTTAAATCTTAAATACTCTCAAAGCAGATTGCTTGATTACTTAACTTTACAAACAAAGTCTAAATTTGGGTAACTAGTTGTTTTACCAAAACTCATCAGAGCTTTCAAACATATTCCCCTTTTAAAAACAACAAAAGCTTCGCACAAATATTCCTTCAATTCTTCGTAGAAATTAAGCATATTTCCGAGCATACGAAAAGTGGCAAATTAAATCAAAAGTTTATTCAAGCATGATCCAGAGTCAGGATTCTCGATCAAGATGAGCCAATTTTTTAATATCTTTGTTAAGCTTGCCTGGTTGTCTCGCATAATTGTATCAATATATCTCTGTTTTTCCAGCGAATTGCTCAATTTTTTGTAGGCTCGCTGTGCCCATGGACGCACTCGTTTCGCGCGTAGCGCATGTCAACAAAGCCCCCCGCAGATAAACATGAAACTCAAATAAATTCGTAGTTAGTGTATTTTGGTCTATTGAAAAACCAGTCAGGCCGTAAGCTTGGCGCTGCTGCTCCCAGTGGGACGTATCGGAGGTATAAATGAATGCAATCGATTGTTGGGCTGGCTTAGTGTTGATTGAGCTGCTGAAGGCAATAAATCATCAATAATGCGCAAGGAGACGATTGTCATTTGCCTCATCCTGGCCGCCTGCTGCCACGCCTATCCGCAGAGCACGGAGGCACCGTCCTCAACGACTACGCCAAAGCCCGATGTGGATGAAAATCCGAGCAGCAGTACGACAACAACGATCATCTCTACAACAGAGAAACCCAAGTCTGAGCTGGAAGCATCGATCACGCCCAACTCAGATGCATCGAGCACCGCCCTGAAAAACGACAATGCATCGAGCACTACGTCCAAGTCCGATGAATCGAGCACCGTCCTGAAAGAGAATATTGCATCGAGCACTACGCCCAACTCGGAGGCATCTAACACCGCTCTGAAGAACAACAATGCATCGAGCACTACGCCCAATT